GGAGGGGGGGGAGGGGCTCCCAGGGACCCGACCCACTGCAGCGGATGGAGACTTACTGGTTTCGGCGCATCGCGAAGCCCCCGGCCTTGCGAGACCATCCGACAGTTACCTCGCCTATCACTTTGGACTCGTACGACACTTTGCGACAGTTCAGAAGTCGTCGGCAGTTGAACCCCCTCCTTGTACGAACATCTTGAGAGGGGACCCTCAGCCCTTCGTCCCGGCCCGTCGTGCAATCTCTTCTCCCACCCTACCAAACATACATACATACACACACCAGCTCCGGCGGCTGTTGGAGCAGGAGCGGTTCTCGTCGTGTGTGTCGTACCGCAAGAAGAAGGACCACTTCATTTTCACCATCGAGTCCTCCGGGGCGGTGCCCCCCCTGGAGCTGCTGGGGCAGGCTTTGGAGCTACTGGGGGAGAAGGCCCGGGACCTTACAGGGAAGCTGTGAAGGAGGAAGGATGTATCTGTGTTAGGGTTCAGATGTAGAGCGGGTTAGATAATGATGGGGCCTTGGGGCGGGTAGTACAGCAATCAAGAGGGTTGTGCGGCGTGTTAAAAAGCTGTGGCGGAGAGGTGTGTGTATGTGTGTAAGTATGTCTGTCCTGCTGCTGCCGCTCAGTAGGTGATACAGATGTCGTTGAGGGTATGAAGATGCGGCAGTAGTGATGTGCGGGGCTGAGGTCAGAGCGGTCCGTCACGATGGTGGTACGGCAGGAGGTATACGGCCAGTTTGCACCAGTGTACGACCCCTTCGACTACCGCGCCTCCTACTGATATTGCTGCTCTACTGGGTGGTCCACCTGCCCCACTATTAAGGGGGGGGAGGGGGGGCCCTGAAGGAGCTGGGGATCAACATCACTGGGCCCAATGACATGTGTCGTACATGAGTGGTAGGAAGGGCGCTCCAGAGCCGCCTCCCGGCCTACGGAACCCCCCGGGGGTTAGGGCCCCCGCCGGTGAAGCAAGGCGTGCACGGGGGGTTATGGGTGTATGCGGAGATAAGACTGTTGTGGCGGGGGAGGCGGGGGAAGAGCGCCGGGAGGGACAGAAGGGGCCCTCCCGCCCGGAGGCTGCAGTGCTGGGTGGGAATGTCGCCGCCTTTTTCGGGGTGTGTGTAGCCGTACGGTCGGGGGAGAGGGGTGAAGACTGGTCGGGTTGCGGAGATCGCCCCGGGACTAATCCCCGGAGGTCCCCCGGGGGGGGGAGGGGAGGCTGCTGGAGGGGATGGCTGACCGGTGCACGCACCAGCAGCTGATTGGAGAGTGTCCACATAAACAATGTAGAGGCAATCTTACTGGTGGTAATGCTTTATGATGTGTGGGACACTGGGGTCATATCTTCACCCTGCGGCCGCTACCAGTAACCCTAGCCAGCCTTTCAGTGGATCGTTCAGGTTCAGCACCCACCACCGGCATCCATCGGAATCTGCCGGATCAACGGCAGAGGCTCAACTTCGTTCGCAGGTCAACTTTATGGTGACCACCATCCATCTAGGGGCACTTTTACCCTGACAGGTTTCGATCCCGGAACCTTCGGGGGCATCAGTGTGTGCTTTACCAGTAGTGCCTGACCTGTGCTTTATGTAAGTATGAAAAAGGTGGCTCTAGCCAATCTTGTCGTACACAAGGGAGGGAACGGACCGTCCTCGTACAATTCCTTTGCAGTTGGAGGCGGCAGCTGTTTTCACCCCCGCCCCAGCTGCCGTGGTCGCCAGCCCCTGCCACCACTGCCGCCGCCCGAGCCGCCCCCGCTGCTGCCGCCGTCTTAACGGTACCCTGGGACCCCCTTGCCGTCGCCGTCACCATTGCTGCTGTATTATTCGGCCCGGCTCCTGCCACCGCTCCTGCCACCGAATCTGCCCCAGCTACCGCCTCCGCCACTGCCGCCGCTGCGACAGTACCCGGCCCTCCCGCGGGTGCCGTTATCTGCTGCTGGTACTTGTAAAGCACTGCCAGTCCTGCTGCACCAGCGTCGCTGATGAGTCCCTCGCAATCAGACATACTGCCGCTTTCACCCTAAACATATCGCTGTCGCTTGTGTTACTGACGAGCATTTCACTAAGCCACTACCACTAACACCACCAATACCACCACTACTGCCACTACCACCACCACTACTGCCACTACCACCACCACCACCATATAACCTGGATATGCACCTGCACACACACACACATGTACGCAGATGGCTGCACCGCCATGGAGCTGTTGTGTGGGCACCCGCCTATGTGTCAGGTGTAGTCGGGGTGACACAAAACAGGGCAGCAGGTGGTGGAGGAAAGGATACACGGTGGCCGCCACATGGCCACATGGTGGCAGCATGTCGGTGTATCCAATCCTCAACCTCCCCTCTCAATGCCGCCTGTTACCCCCCACCTCACGCCACGCGAAGGCCATCCAGGTGGGCAGCAGTGAAGGGGTTCTTCTTCCCCCTTAAAGGGGGTAAGCCTACATAAATTGCACATAACTCTATCGCTCTATTCTTGCTCAGCCCTGCTGCCATGCACCCCTCTTTTACAGTGGAGGTGCGGTCCCTACTGCTCTTTATCCCAATGTGCATCATCATCATCATTATCATTATCATAACCATGGGGGCCCAAAGCCCTGAGAGAGCGAGACTAAACAGACAGATGTACATACGTAGCAGGGTATGAGCTTTTCCCTATTGAGGTGCTGAGGCCAGGGGGGTATGGAACTGGCAGTGTGTCGTACTGTGTACAGACCCCATGCAGGGGCACAGCATGATTTGTACACCGCTGTAGAGCCACTCGTCATCTATCCAAAAATCAAGGCCCAGATGTGTGTAATTGCTCTGTATGTACGTATGTGTCTGGGTGAGCAGGTTCATATACAACTTTACCTGTCTGTATGTACCTCCGTCCTAAAGGGATGTAAGTCAGCATTTCCCGGGTACAGAACGCCCCGCGCACATGGGTGGTCGTATCCTGGCGGCCATGACAGTTGGCAAGCAAACCGCATGCAGCAAGATCTAAGCACTGCGAGGCGGTTGGCGTTCAGGAGTGCGTGTACGAGTTCATAAGGACAGCAGGAGATGCCCAATTATGTTTCCTGAACAGGACATATCTGTGCTAATGGTAGCTGGTTGGGTTGGCACGTCTGAGACCCGGAGAGGCGCATCTGTCGCATGCCAGCTTCATCCGCTTACGCTGCAGGGGATGTGTAGTGTGCGGTCACCCGGGAGCATGCTCCCTCACATCTCACACCTCGCACAGCTCCTGATGCACCATAAAAACCAAAGTTATACGTACAAATAAGGAAAGTCACCCTGTCGCTATTCGCCCGCTGGGGCCAGGCGTCAACTCGTACTGGGGGTCTTATCGGTGCGAGGCCCAAGTGATTCTACAAACACTATCATTCAAACCAATTGTCCCAATCGGCATCTTCCAATGCCACCATTCTGGTGGTTATGTCAAACTACACTCCTGGCTTGACTTCGGAGCCCGCCCGCCTTATTTAGATCTTTAAACTTTACAATTGATTTGGGATCGAAGTTTAACAGAAGGTTGCTTTCGGTTCTGAACCTGCGCACGAGCGTGGACTGCACATGCAAGAACACATCCACTCCGACCAGTACCGTTGGCACGCTGGGTCACATCTCCAAGATATTCAAATCATCCTTTCTATTGGCCAAATATAGAGACCTTGAATCATGGCGGATGAGATCCGGCTGGTTAAGCAGAGGATTAAGAAGATCGAAGGCGAGCTGGCGGACATCAGTGACCGCCTGGAGGAGCAGCTGGGGGCTGCCTCGTTGGAGGAGTTCGAGGAAGAGTTATTGAAGAGAAAACGTCTCATCTTGCAGTCAACTCTTGCCACCTTGCGGCAAACGGAGAACCTCCTGTTCGAGCAGCATACCCGCGGTGAGTCGTAAGTGTTTTAGGGTATTTAAGATCTTTGCGAGGTCTCATGTTGCCACGGTTGCTCTCATCTTGGATCACCGATAGCTTTATACGCATGCGTTGCAACCGGGCTTCGGGTATACTAGGTTGCGGTGTTTGGCCGCGCATACGACGATGGTAGATTCAACGGCCCTCCTTGTTTCTCAACGGCTGGTCTCAACAGCTGCCAAGTTTTCAATGGCCGTGTTAGCGTTATTTGGGCTTTTGGAAACGGAGGGAGAAGGTTTTGCGTCAGTGGGTGTGGGTGCTTCGTAAATAGTTCATCCAAACGTTTGGCTGTAGTTGATCAGAACCTCCGCTGTGTGTCCTGCAGGTCGCTGCAGCCGCGCGTCACCCTCGGTGGAGCGGTTTTGGAAGCAGCTACCGTCGGCAACGCTTGCCATGTCCGCGGAGGGCATGGAGGTCCTGCAGCTTGCACCCGGCACTGAGTTCCCACGGCCTCACAATTTTACGGCTTTGCTTCTTCGGCCATGCTACCGCGCCCTGTCAGAGGAGATCTTTGCAGCTGTGTCGGGGCCTGATGGGTACACCCGCCGAGTCCTCATTCGCGGCACACCAGGCAAGCTGTCGGGTTTGAGTGTGGGAGTTACACTGTTCCAGGGAACAGGCGATGGCGAAGCTGGGGATATGTCTTGGCTTTGGAAAAGGCAAGCTCCTTGCTTGGGATATTTTGACGTAGAGGTTTCAGTTTCAGGACTGAGGCTTCAAGAAGAGTATCATTCGTTGTTGAATGCAGGTATTGGCAAGAGCATGTTCCTGTACTACTTGCTTTATGAGCTGGCATGCCAGGGTAAAACCGTCGTGTGGCAGGGCAACTCGATGGCTTCTGTGCTGCTGTATACACCCAACGGTGTGTTCCAGTCAGACTCCACGTTTGCTTTTAGCGCGGAGCTTCATGATCCGAGTACATGGTATGTTGTGCAAATCACTGTTAGTGATTTTGCTGTTCATGCCATTTTACCTTCTGACGCACGGCAATCCTGGTGTGACCTGATCGTGTCTGTGCTCGCTGACCAGGTTTTTATGTGACGCTGTGGAGCCGTCGGCCAGGAGGGCAATTACCGTTATGGTATCGATACCCCGCAACTCAAATTACAACGTGAGTACATTTTACATGAGGTATGTGTGAGTTTGCTGTCGCTGTGTGCGTGGTGATTTGTTGCAAGGTCCACTTTATAGGATGCCATAATTATAAGCTGCACATCTGGAGGTGAGACGACCTGGAGGTAAGCACTGTGCGATACGTTTGGCATGTTCTTATCGCATGCTAATGATTTGTCCTGTAGGATTATATGAAGCTAGGTCCCATGCGGCTGTGGATGAGCCCCTGGTCCATGTCGGAGCTGGAGGCGGCACGTCGCACCATCTTCACTTCCGTCACCGATGATGCGTTGTCACGGCTGTATGCTCGGTGGGGTGGCATCCCGCGATACGTCCTGGAGCATGCAAACAGCCCCACCCAGCAGAAGAAGCTTGATGAGGTGGTGGCAGTCATTACTATGGACCTCCTATTCAGATCAGTACGCAACATCGAAGCTGCGACGGAAGACAACATCCACAAACTGTTTCACATCCAGGTCGGTGCAAAGCCTTTTTAGCCGACCGTCAGCAGCTGTCCCTTGTTGTGAGTGGTGACTTGCGTTGGGCAGGCAGCATTGTGCCTGGTGCAAGCCGAAAGGCCCACGGTGGAAATCCTGGTGGAAGTGTCAAAACGATAATGGTCACTGCTGGCCATTGAAAACTGTTATGATGGCTTTGACAGAAGCAGGGCTGTGCACTGTGTGTGTGTGTGTGTGTGTGTGTGTATTTGTGTGTTTGTGGCAACGGTGCAGGTTTTGCACACCAAGACTGGCAAGACTTTGTCATGTTGTGGGTTGTCACATTTACATACAGGTGAATGAGGAGCACGAGAAAGAATGCCTGGACTTCGGCTCAGAGGAAATCGGCCAGCGTGTGATGCAGCGGCTGTATCGGCAGTACTCTACTACGTTAACACCCTTCTTGCGCTCTGCCATTGGCAGACTGGACTTGGCCTCACTTAGAGGTCCGATGTTCCGGTGGCTAGTGGATATCTTACTCCCCATGGGCGGCACGTATTGTGTGCGCAGCCTTTCCGACACCGAGACTTTCAGACTGACAATGCCGGAAATGGAGCTGGAGATGGTGCAAGACAGCGCACTCAAAGAAATGAGCCTCACAACGGTGAAGTCTGGGCTCCTGGTGCCAATATCTAAGGACTTCCCCGTTGTGGACTACTTTCTTATTTTGCCTGGCAGTAGTGGAATGGCAGAGAGGCTGCTCTTCATCGTGGTGACCGTCTCTGCCAATCACCATATTAGCGCGTTGGGGCTGCAAGCCGCCGTACAGAAGCTGTCCAGGGACCTTCAGGGGCTCAAGTGCGAGCTGTGCTTTGCGGTGCCGCCTGACCTGTTCGAGTCATTCACGGAGCAACCCTTTGAGGAGGCTGAGACAATGGCTGTGGACGCTGTCGGGATGGAGCAGTTTGCCGTACAGATCCCACTAGTGCAATTTCCTCCTGGTTTCACACCCCGTTTACCCAATCCTGAAATGGCGATCAGAAGCATGAGGAACTGGCCGACAGCTGGCAGAGGTGGCGGTGTTGCTCCGTCTGCCTTGAGCAGGTCCCCAACAGGCATCTCTATTCCAAGGCGCAGCCATCTGCCGTGGGTCAATCCCAGCATGGTCATTCTTCCTAAGCCCCATATCTCGAGCGTCTCCTCTGCTGCCCCGAGGTGGCGGTGATGGTGTCGCTGCGGCAGCTGTGGCAGCTGAGTCTGTTGGTGCTAGCAAGGTGGCCGTTGTGGATGTGGACACTAGGTCGTGGTCACCAGAGGCTTTGGAAGTAGTCTGTGGCTTGGCTTGGCATGGTTACCGTGGCATGATGCCGTACTGGGCCCTGCAGACATCAGGATTCACCCTAACTGTTGGGCTCACAGCTTGTGTGTACCTGGGAACTGGACATGGCTGGGCATTTGCGTATTTGCTGTAGTTGCAGGTTATGGGGGTGCAGGCACTGGTGGGCTTATATCTGTAAGTGCCCTAAGATTTACAAGGAAACTGCTTCAGACATGAGCAGTAGCATGGATGGAGTGGATTTGTGCCTGAATATGTCGCTTCACATTTCTGAGCCCGGCCTGCATGGGTTGGACTGCTGCTGGGGGTGCTAGTTGGGAGTTGCTTGTGGGCCCGCAGTGGGTGTACTGCTTTTAGTAGGGAGGGCACTCTGGGATGGGGTGCGGTGACGTGCTTTTGATTGTTGTACAAGTAGGATGTTAAGCAAGAAAGGGCCATTTCACTTGTGCACTCTGTGGGCAGGTGGCACAGGCTGGTGTGGTGTAACAGAGCAAAGGTGTAACCTGGGATGCTCATTTTGGCCTTGCATCGTTACACGCTGACCTCCTGGTTTGGAGTAGATTGGTAGTGCTATTGCATGTTGATCTTGCCCCGAAGATGGATGTGCAGTCATGTGGGGTGGAGGAGGGGAAAAGGAATATGATTCCACCATGTGGAGATGTGTATCTTAATGACATCAGCCGTGGTGTGGCGATGTGTGCACACATAATTGTGGTGTGACACTACATGAGACAAACAGCATGCCTGCAAGGGGTTGGTCATGCAAGTTTATTAATATGGAAGGATGGCAATCCAGTGCAGCCCCCAAGCATGATCAGGTTAACAGGCCCCATAAGTTGAAGTTGGCACAGGAGTGGTCATAGATTTTGGTGTGCAGGTTTGTGGGGGCAGTGTTCATGAAAGCACAACAAAACTGCTAGATGATGAACCAAGATAGCATGGCGCTTTTCTTCAGAGGCCTGTCATGTGCTTTACCATGATGCTTTTTGGGCACCTTAATGCAAAGGAGTTTAGCAACTTTTGAAACCATCATTGATTTAAGGGGCTGCAGTCTCAGCAGTAGCTAGGAATGAAACCTGGAATCTTTACGCTGGCATATGATGCCTGGATGCTGACAACGCAAAAGTATCCTTTTATGGTGTCTTCAATGTCTTTCTTATTGTGTGTACAGCGCTTGGACTCTGGTGACGGCCAAATATTCGGCTCCGGAACCAAACTGACAGCTGGATGACCTGCCCTTGAGGGTCAAATGTGTAAGAGCCTGGCTCAGGACTTAAGATATTCTGGGTAGGGACTCCATTCCTTGTTATCATGCCATCATTGATGCGAATATCGTACCATACTACTATCTACTGTACCGTATCATACTACTATCTTAGTCATCTTTCCATTATAGCCGTTCTCAGCAGTACATGGCTATGGCTATGGCTGTAACGATCGGTACACAATCTTGTAAACGTAACTCTTCTCTGTAACGTAACTCTTCTGTATCGTAACTCTTCTCTGGAAGGTGCGATTCTCTTCTGCAGGAATATCTACTATTGTACGGCATCATATCCCGGACGCCTCAGACGGACTGCAAATGACTAAAAAACCCCAAGGGAAACCCCCCGGTGTTTATCAACACCTTCATAAGTGGACTAGTAGCTAAATCCTCTAAGTAACCAGGTAGGCTCTCACATCGCTGCGAATTGCTATGTCAGCCGACGGCCGACAATCTTCGGACACTCTAGTGAACTATTTGCCAGACCAGCAGACAGTTACGCATCAGGATGCTAACACATCTGCTGGTGGGTCTGCTGCGGCAGACCGGTGCCGCTGACCCTCAATCGTGACCAACCTACAGGTGGCACACCGCTCAATCAACCTCCGAGTGAACAATTAACTCCTAAGTTTATCACTTCAACAGCTTACGGGCATTGAGGACACTCAGCCTACGGGCAGGCTTCGTCCTTATTCAGAGTCATCGGAACCGGCGGGCCAATCCTTGCCCGAAACTAAAGCGGGTGTAGCACTTCAGGTGTTAGACGACTCCGCACCAGGCACTAGCAATTGCCAAAGCGAACAACGATAAGGACTTCGCGGAATCGCTTCTCGATTACATGAATTAGTTTAATTTAATCTTTACCGGGTTGCGTTACTTCCCTTCAAACGCCATTAGTGCGAACATAATTATTACCTTCACCACCCTTCTTGTCACATCCGGACAATGTGACGACGGAACGACAAATAGCCCGCAAAGTGGGGGTAAGGGTAGGGAGTACGGCATATGTTAAGGGTTGTACGGCATTCATGTTCTGTCGGCAAAGTGAACGTATTTTGTTTTTGCTGTCCAGTGTAATGCATGAGACCATACAGTGCAGCTGTAGCTATAGTGTTCGGATGTCCCCGACAGTCGTGGATGGGAACTGCTACTGCTGCCACGAGGACTTTGAGCCCCAATACCATTCCCAGAGCAGTCAGCTTCAAAGGTCCTAAAGGGGCGGAATGAACAAGGTATTTGTAAATGCAGGTTCGCCTTTACAGCAGTGGTTAGTCATCAGCATCATCAGTTCATTAGCAGGGCAGCAGCAGGCTGAGAGGGCTTCAGAAGCGGCGAGACGGGATAGTAATGCGATCCATAATGCATATTCGGCGTTTAGTTACTACTGGCAAGCATACGGCATTCTAACCTGTTCTGTGTCGTACGATGACAGCCATCTGGGAGAGGGGGGCTGGACTGTGACGTCACCCCTGTTTGCAACCCCACGGCGGTCTTGTGGAGTACGGGCCCAGAGGACTGGCGACGGTGTCTGTTCATACGTATGTTTGTCCACATTGGCATCCACGATATGCATGATGTGTTTCTTGGGTTCAAGGGCCAAGTATCCCGCGGAAGAGTCAAAACCAAGTATGCCCCATGCTGGACGAGGCTATGAACTAGGACACGTGGAGAAGAAGGTCGGTTCCGGTTGCGCAGGTTTGAAAGGGTCTGAAAGGAAGCATCACAAAGTGCGTTGCCCGAACTGAAATGGAGCATGGAAGCGAAGCCCCAGGAATTCCTCCACCCTTCACATTCCACAGCGCACTCCTGCATCCCACCTCTTGTGGTGTACGACCAGGACAGGGTAATCAGTGGAATGCTCAATAGCAGTAACGTCACTTTTACTTCTTTCCCCTGCACCCGATCTTTCCATCATCACGCTCGCTTCCCTCCCCCGCTTTCTTTCTTGCAGCGGGCAGCCGACCAGACCCACAACCGCAACTACTACAGCAGCAGTACAAACCATCGTGGACATGAGTAACCCGCCTTTTCGGCGGTCGTACATGCAACTGTACTGCAAAACACATCTACAGACATACAAATCCTCGTATCATAAAAACTAACAAGCAGATGGCAGGGAACCCTTGCCACCTTGTCCTACCGTAGTAGTCTATTTTTGCCGGTGAGTGTTTGTCTGATTGTGCGAAGTAGGGGGTATAGCTTAACCCGCGGCCACTGTAGCCTGCTGGCAGTCACCCTGCCTTCCCCGCGATGCTTGGGACGCCCTCATCCTTTCCACCCACGTGTGCCGACTTCTCCGAGTTCAGCACCCGACACCGGCGCATCATCCAGTGGAATCTGCCCCCAGATCAAGGGCGGCACACCTCCATTCCCGGTCGGCTCGCAGGTGTGTCGCTATTACCGGGTCCATCAACGTCCAACGGTATGGGGGCCCATCCAACCTCTTACGGTCTAAGACGGATTTCATCCCGATCCCTAGCAAGATCGATTCTGGAACCTACCCGCACCTACCTTAGCATATTTGGTGTGTCTGGAGCAGTTTGTCTGTAAGTGACTTGACATTTGATCACACTTGGTGACGTCACGACACAGCGCGACAGCGGCGCCCTAACAACGACTGCACACTCATGCTATGCATGCGATGCTAATGTGGGTCACAGGGCGGCCACACACTCAACGATTCGTAATACTCGCCAGGACAGCGACAGTAACTCCCGCCTACATGCACATTCACCCGCCTCCAGGAACACAAAGGCGCCCACGAGCACACCATCCCCAATTTACCTAGTTTTGGGTTACACACAAAGAAGCCCACGCGGCAACCCGCCAAGGGGGCTTCCACGGGGTGGGTGGGGAGGGTGGAGGCCCAGCAGGGTATTTTCCCCCCTCTCTTCCCGCCCCTCCTCACCTCACTTCATCTCACCCAAGAACACGGGGACCGAGGGGACTGTATAACCTTCATTTATCAAATGTAAATCTTCAAAATCCAAATCACAACTACGCCCCTACCTGACCTAGCCTGCTGCGAGCCGCCGCTCCAAACACACCTGGCCCCCCTTCACATCCAGAAGGCTGCAGTATAGAGGGCCCCGGGCCACCAACCCGCCCTGCACCGGCGCCGTTGTAGCTGTACCGGGCTGCCGCAGTGGCCTTCGTCAACGCGCTATCGCTGTCGTATCCTCGCTGCTGCGCGGGAACGAGTCCCACCGTCGGCAGCGAGGTCCGCGCCACCTCCTGCTGGAGCTGCTGGTGCTGTGCGGCGCCGAAGCGACTGCGGCCAATGCCGTTCAGGACACTGCCGGCAGCACCGCCGCAGCTACCGCCGCCACCTCCACCCACACCAGCATCCGGCCCTCGCGCGGTGTTGGGCCCCGTGCCGCCACTGCCAGGTCTGAGGGCGGGTAGCATCAGAGCGGTCGAGTCAACCGGGGTGGGGCCCCCGGTGACGGAGTGGCGGGCGGGAGGGTGGGAGGAGGTGGCGGCGGCGGTACGGCTCACGCCCGTTTGCGCCGCCGCCAGCCCGTTGGTGTTCAGGTGGTCTACAGGCGGCGCCGAGAGTGAGGTGGCGATGGATGAGATGGCGGCGCCGCCATCACTGCTGGCTGTAGAGCGGCGGGGACGCCGTATCGGGACGGCCTGTGTAACCTGGCCGCCGCCACCGTAACCACCGCCGCTTGCGACGGTGGCGGAGGATGCAGCTGCAGCGACGTGTCCCTGTCCCGCGCCTCGGAACCCCCCACCCGCCCCGCCTGCGCCACTGGCCACTGCCGCTGCCCCACTGCCCGGTCCCGACCCATCCTGGGCTGGCGCCACCATCATGGAGGCGCCCATGCGGGCAAAGCGACTGACGGTGACGGGGGCGGATGTGGACAGGGGCTGTGTGGTGGAGAGTACGGGCTGAGAAACCCCACCAGGTCCACCGGCGGCGTTGGGGCGGGAGGCGGGTAGCGGCAGTGATAGGACCCGGCCCGTTAGGTCCGCTACCTCGCCGGCCATGTCGTTAACCTGCATAGACGTGAAGTCGCTCTGGACGGCCCGAATGGAGCGCTTGTGCTGCGGCGCCTGACCCTGAGCCAGGGTGGCGATGGGGGGTGTGGGGGACGCCTTGGCCGGCGGTTGCGGCCTGCTGCCGGCCCATTGCTCCAGTTGGGGTTGCTGTTGCTGTCGCTGATGGATTCCGGCATCGGCACTTGGCGAGAAGCTGTTGAGCACTTCATCGACGTCAAAATCTGTTACATCGGAACAGCGCGGTAAGGGGGGAGGGCGCGGCACGGCAGCAGCAGCAGGTGCTACTGCAGCTGCTGCAGCCGCGCCAGTCGCCATGGCCTGGCCTCCGCCGCTCTTTACCTTGTGCACGTGCCGTCGAGGTGGGGGCTCCAGGTGCTTGATGAAGCTCTGACTGTCCAGCTGCCGCCGCGGGGGAGGCCCGGGCTCGCCCGACACCTGCTCACGCTCTCGTGCCTGTTGCTGGTGTTGGTTTGGCTGCGATGCGGCTGACCCGGCTACTGGCCCATCCGAACTCGATTGCACAGATTCCTGGCCCCCTAAGGACATCCATTTCTTATTTCCGCCGCCGCCACCACTACCGCCGCCGCCGCCGCTGCCAGCATTGCTCTGTTCTGTGAGCCTCACAGCCGCAGCCTGTGGGTGCGCGGTCGAGGGCTGCTGCTCCGCCGGTCCCGCTTGCGCCTGTCTCTTCCTCTGCAGCGCCGCCAGCTGCTCCAGGCGGGACATCCCCGGGCCGCCCGTCTCCTCGGGGGCCTCGATACCGTCGTCCTGGCTCCGCTTCGCCTGCCAGTACTGGGAGGAGGCGGAGGCGCCAAGGTTAACTTGAGGCGGAGGCGCGAGGTTGGGACGGACACTCCGGGCCACTGCTGTATCGGCTCCCGCCCCTGGACCTGGACCTGGACTGAGGCCGCTACCTCCCCCCCCTGGACTGCCGGCCGCTAGAGTTGCGACCGCCGCAGCGTTGCGGCGCACATTGCCGCCACTGCTGCCGCGAGCCGGGGGCTCCAGGGGGGGCTGAGGGGCTATTCGAGCTGGTGGCGGCTGTGGGTACTGCGGCTCAGCTCTCTGCGGTGACGAACCCCCCTGCTGGTGCTGCTGGTGCTGCAATGTGGCGAGTGAGGAGGGCCCAGGACCTGCCCGCCCCGTCTCGTCCGGCACATGTCTTTTTGCGCCTGCGGGCAGGTTGGGATTTCCCTTAGTTGACAGGACTCCTCAGGACATGTGCCGGATGCCCCTCTCCTTGGACAGGCCCCTTCATGTGACTTGGGTGTGTGGGGGCCGCCACCCGATAGCTGCTACCGGCGTGGGGGCCACAAAGCAAGGCGCCCATCTATCGCTCAGAGGACAAAGGTGCCACGACCACTTCCATGGGGGAAGGTGCGAGACAACCCCCTCCGACCATATCCCTGCTGGCACACTGCGCGGCCCTACTTCACCTGACCGTCCCCCTAGCCGCACCTGCCCCGCCGGCCGCCTTTTTAGCGGCCATTGCCGCTGCTTTGGCCCGGTCCTCCTGCTTCTTGAGGTGTCGCAGCTGCCTGATCCGCTCCTCCTCCGGGTCCCATTCGTCATCCCCCTCATCCGTCCTGCTGGACCGAGAACGTCGGAGCCGACTCTGCGAGCGACGTATCAGGGCGGTCCAGGCGGGGGCAAAAGGAACTGGAGGGACGGGGCTTCTTTCCCCGACATCGACCACAGCCACCATCAATATATAGCAAGCGAAACGGTTTAGAGCCTAAGGCCTAAGCGGCAGTCGTGTCCAGTAATGCCTGTGGCCATAGACGGGCAACGTCTGCGTCCTAAGGCATGCACCGTCAGTTGTCAAGCCGTGGGTACGGATTTCCGTGCCGTACCCAGCTGACCCAGCAGCAGCAGAACGCGCCGTGCTAGGCCGCTGGAACCCTAGACGGACCTTTGACTGCCCCGCTGTGAGTGCTCGTACAGCCGCCCCTTCATAGTTGCTGTAGTCGTCGCCATCGGGCGCCCTCCTCCGGCGGCTGAATGCGTTCACGTAATCCTCCCGTTCATCCTCGCTGGTTGAGTCATCGTCGTAAATAAAACCATCGAGGTCTTCGTCATCACTATCCACATCAAAGTCGTCCCGTCTGCCCACGCGGGGGGTGCTCATGGGGCTCTTGTCTGACCCCACCTGGCTGCCGGCCAGGCTGCCGGCGCGGCTTCCCGTCCCGCTAATGACGGACGATTGACCTGGGCTGTTACTGACTGAGGTACGCTGCCGTAATTTACCGATAAGGCCGCCTCTCTGCGACTTCTGTGCACCGAGGCGTGAAAGGGTGGCAGGTTCAGACATGCGCATTTAAACCTGAGAGGCAAGCATGCAAGCCAAGTTTCGCATAATTCCAAGCTCTGGGTTTTACCTTAGGGTCCACCGCCTGTATGACAACATGTTTGGCATGCTTTGGGGATGGATAGTCGGAGCTTACGCTCGCCTGCGACGGGTGGGAATGTGAAGCTCATAGGTAAAAAATCGAACAATTCAGGTGTCGCCAAGCAGGTTAGTTCAGACATTAACATTATGGGTAGGAAGCCGTGCGACCTGCGTCGCTTTTAGCATCCAGGGTGAGCCTTTGGAAACCCGGCCTTCGGGTAGCCTTACCCGGCTCGCTTGCTCCGTGCTTATATATGTTCCTGAGCTCCTATTACTCTCGTTATTCCTGTCTGAATTTGTAGCTGGGCTCCCGCCGTCCCTTTTGTGCGCACCCGATGGGGCAGAACCAGAACCTGAGGAAGCGCCAGCTCCCATTATTTTCGACAGCAATACCTAATGAACTGAGCACGGGCCGTTGAGAGCTCCGCAGCACCGTGTGAAACGATGTTGACGGGGCCGAGGCCCGTTTTACAAGCCGCGGGCCTCAGGCTCGCAGCCTGGGAAAATACATTTTATCGCATCCTTTTCAAACATGACAATGTGCTGAATAGTTGCCTTAACGGCCGCATCGGGGGTTGTTATTTGTGGCTTGATTGGGTAGGTCCTTCTAATGTACCACATGATATTACATGACAATGCTTGTGGAGCTTCTGAATCCTGCTAACAAATCCATGACCCATGCACTGAGCCTTGTGAATAGACGTACGACGTAGACAGGAAAGCATCAAGGGCTGGAAGAGCACTACAGCAGCTTTTGTGACGCGTAGTGGGGGAAGGGATAACACTGTAATACCTATTTGCTGTCTTGGGTTTTGCGCAGCTTCCAATGGAACTGTGTCGTAGGGAGAACGGAAAACATCGGACTGAGATAGGTAGCCGGGGTCGTGTCTATGACCCTGATGTTTTGCACGTTTCCAGGTCTACCTACTGTTTGCCACATCGCATGTATTTGTAGTCTGCTACAAAAGTTAATGCTACGGGTTGCGTTTTCGACAGGATGGAAGACAAAGTTCGAAGCTCGTCGCGCCAAGGTCGCGCTAAACAACCTAAACTTCCCCAGGATTCATGCATTATTAGGATCTTGCAATTTTTGCATGTTGGAACATTAATAGGCAGGATGCACGCTCTTAGCGGCCAAAGCGACCAGTAACAACGCCAGATACATTTGCAGATTGCAAAGTTATGACAAATGACTGGATCAAAGCAACGATCACATCATCCCGACAGCATAGTAGTCGTCAACCGATTAAGTGAGATAACGTCCGTACAAAAAACCTATCGGCTTTCGACAGGAGCTGAAAGATGCCGCTTTCATTCCTGCAGTAATATGTTTGAGGTATTTTCTTCATGCTATATCAATTAGTTTTCGGCTCCTATCAGCCTGCGATCTGCCTCCTGCACTCCGGGACCACGACTGCACCGTGCTCAGGACTTTGTTCTCTATGTCTAGTCAAGTAATAAAGAATGTCCCGGGGAGGTAAAGGCTTCACCGTTGCATTCTGACCTCTGCGGACAGCTATCGTAACGCTCTAAATTGATGTTCATTGTCGTCGTAGCACGCAGCTGGAGGATGATTGGAGCACATCAACATTCGTATGTGAACGTGTCTGTGTCAGCGAAAAGCTTATGCGGACAGTTGGCGCCGCCGGCAAGGTGTGTCCTCACAGTTACTAGGTACCATGTGTATTTGGGGGGTAATATAGTGGCCGTTCGAGAACATACACGGCGAGCAAGCGGGCTTCGGCAAGGGAGGGCGTGGGTGCAAGACCTGAAAAGACATGGTTAGGCCCCAGGGCCTCCTCCTAGGTGGTCTGACACCTCTGCATTCCGCGGGGTTCGTAGGGTTATGGATGGTGTGATTTCTGGAAGCATGCTTCAGAATGGACCCTGTCCCCATTTAACAAATACTTCACTGATTCGTAAGTATCCGCGCATGGCAGGATGCAACTCCGGGAAACTGCGTCACCGTCTGTGGCGTATCCGGTAGGCGCTCTTGGCGGGGGTGGAAGAAACCTGCCCTGCCCAACTCTTTGGTGGGGCGAGGGTCTCACCAAAATGGAACATCGGTTCCAAGGCGGCCCCCGACCGTTAATGCGTAACTCCCGGAGTGCAGCATACAGAGGCGATGGCTTAATGCCTCTGTGGCTAATGTGCTGCATAGCGGCAACTTAAGTTGCTTTTGAAGCGGTGCCTTTTTGCACAATGTTATGCCTTGTGAAATCAGCTATGTGAAATCACTAGGTTGTGGAAAACACTTTTGGATGCTTCTTTGGACAATAGCAAACTAAGCATGTTCATCCGCTTCCCTTACTGTAGCGGTGGATGCTTGCACGGAAGCATGCCAACGCGCCGTGTGCGTGACTCCGTCAACAGTACCTGCCTGGAACGAGGCGTGCTTAAGACGCTGCACGGCTGAGTGCATTCGCAGCAAGCAGCGACAGCCATCTGGACTGTAAACATCTTTAGGACTAGCCAAAGGTTTTTAAGGTTGACTGGGTTATGTGTTGGTTCAAATACGCAGGTAAGACGTTTTTGTCGTCTGGTTTTATAGCAGGATGAGGAGGCGGTACGTAGCAGTCGCTAACATGACATATATACGCATTTAATAATCCAACACTTTTTCGCTGCACAGTACGAACTTTTCGGTGTCTGTGCTGGTCGGACAGCACGGTAGGGCAGGTCTGACGGCGATCGGGATTAGATGCAGGCGAAGTTCGCCGTTTACAGGTTTTACTAGCCCAAGTTAGCAGATGTTAGCCACTGTAACACCGTCAATCAATTCACTGCTGGTGAAAACAAAACAGTGGAGGCGGGAACCGTCACACAAACATCCTTTAAAACCGCCAACAAGCAGGGAACAGTGGGTAAACACCACCAAGCACCTCTCACGCAGGTAACGTCATATCGCTCGCGACTGCTTTAGCTAAATGTTAAGCGGAGAATCCCTCCGTCGGACCATGTCACTGTTGCTGCTGCTGCATCCACGCCTTCAGCTGTGCGATGCGGTCCGCCAGTGGCACGTAAGCACCTGCTTCCGCGACTTCCGCCGGAGACGGGAGCTTAGACAGTACCTCTAGCTGCTCGCCCACATCAGGGCCAGCCATGCGACCCGTCAGAGCGATGCGCATCGGCATGAACAGCCGCTTGCCCTTCCGCTTCTGGGCCTTGCCAATGGTGTTGACCCACGTCTGCAGTCATGAGTGCCGCCCAGAAAATGTAGGTCGTGATACTACAAGAGCTACGCCAAGTGTTCCGGGCAAAGCGCCAGTGACGAGTGCACAAAGGCAAACATTGAATGCAAGCCAGACAACGTAATGAAGCGTTACCCGTGTGCGTAGGCATGGATCACATGATGCAGCATACGCAGCGCATGCCAGCCAGCTCACCTTGTACCCGTCGTGGCCCTTGGCCAACGCCGCCGTCAGCTCGCCACTCTCGTAAGCAGACACCACCGCCCCAGCGACCTCCGCAAACGCGTCGTCCATCACGGACTTTGCCTCGGCCGAGGCGACTGTCTCCGCTAATGGGTAGCCCAGCAGCTTGCGCACCTCCGGCTCACAGTCCGTTACCAGCTCCTGCACGGCACGACGTCGTGGCGGTCCACCAGGTAGCCGCGGTCAGACAGGAGTTCAATACAATGAATGAGGCGCCTAACACCCGAAAAAAGAGGACATGCCGAAGTGTGTCCGATGGAGCCATTACATCCTCATGCGGAACAAAAGGCCGCACACCCTGCAACGCCGCAGCTACGCACCATGCTTTTGCTGACAAGCTTGACAGCGGCCGCTGCAAACGGGGAGTTCGCGGATGCCAGCAGACCGCAGCTGACCAGGTGTTCCACTGCCATGGAGGTCGACTCCTCCTCCGGCAGGTTCCGCAGGTGCTGCCCGTTCATCCACCCCAGCTTGACCTGCGCTCATGCCGTCGCACAAAGATAAGTTTAGGGACATATGCCTACAATTATGAAAGAATATAAAACGCAGCCTCCTATCACCACCATCATCAGCTCAGCAGCGATAGCAACCAGTGCTAATCCTTTCCGACACCGTCCCTATGGACATGTGCTCCATAACTTTCATCAGTTTTGAAAAAGTAAAAAATGGGTGGGAGCAGCATGTCGTGGAAACGTTACCACCTGGACCAAAGGCCTCACGGCCAGGCCAACCCCCTCTGCCAAGGCAACCGGCACCCACCTTGTCAAACACGGCTGCACTTTTGGTGATGCGCTCCAAACTGAATTTATTTGTGAGCTCCTCCACAGTGAAGATCTCCTGCTCCGTACCGTCGTTCCAGCCCAACAGCGACAGGAAGTTCAGCATCGCCGGAGCCAGGTAGCCCTGGTTCCGGAACTCGCCCACGCTCGTCGCGCCATGCCTGTGCACCATTGACACCAATGCCGTCATACAGCACGGATTACAGGAAGTGGGCAATGGTGACACTGGACACTGTGTGGTGCGAACAGGGCAGTAGCAGGATAGGCGATAAATGGGACTGCCGTAGGACGTCACTCGCTTCAATCATTTTACCGCACAGTATCCGAAGCTAACAACTGACGAGCCGAGGTCACAAAACGCCCGGAGACCATGTAGCAGTCAAACCAGCCTGCGGCAAGGCAAGCACCATTTCCAACTTCCCTCCCCTCGCGCGTGAAAGGATTGCATGGCCATATGCGGAACGGACGCCACACCTCTTTGACAGCTTGCTTTTGTCAGGCGCCAGGATGAGCGACATGTGGCCAAACTGGGGCACGGGGTAGCCCAGCGCCTGGTAGATCAGCATCTGACGCAGCGTATTGGGCAGGTGCTCCTCAGCACTGTCACAGGGACCAACAGGAATCGAGCAGCAGGGTTTTGAAGCATATCACTCGATGGCGCTGTAGAACTGCTGCTTATTGAAAGAAAGCCAACTCCATTAACCTTCCACCGTCCAGCTCATCTAGGACGCCCCGAGTGCTGGTGGCCAACCAGCGGACGCCTCTGGGCGCTTTACTCGGTGCTGGCTGCTGGCTCGACAGGTCACGGTCCGCACGCCGTCATCTCCCCGTCGCACCCCCCTCGGCACCCTCTAGCCTTTCGCCAGTCGCACCCTTACCGCAGCACGTGCGTGATGCCCATTAATGCGTCATCGACTGCCACACAGAAGTTGTAGACCGGCATGCCATTGGAGCGGAGCACCACAAAGTCTCCCAGCGTGTCGGTGTTCCAGGTGACCTCTCCGCGGATGAGGTCGTTGATGCGGATCTCCTGGTTCTGTGGATGGAGGAGGCACGGGCCGAGTGGATAGATTGATATGGACACACCTGGTGAGAAACGCGCAAGTTACATTGCTCAAAGGTTCTAGAAGGGGAACAGAACCTCCCTTTTTATAAGGGAGGTCCATGGCATGGCCCAACTGGCAAGGTCCTGCCGTGGTGCACAGCTGCTACGTCATGTTTTCATAAACACCTACCCAATTCCTGCGACATACAGTTCAAGTCCTGCAAGTCCGAAACGAGAGGCACCAACCCAGACGCCATGCGCACATGGTGATGTGGTAACCTAGTTCCATGTGCAGTTCTTCCATGTGGATCTATGGTCTTTTCCGGATCGTCACCGCCCGCCCCCTGCCTACACGACCCCCCCTGTGGACGGCGCCGACACCCACCGCTGGCACTCGGAAGCGGTAGCAGTATGGCAGCCCCTTAGCCTTGGCCGCCTCCACCTCCACAGGGGTCGCAGTGGCCCACTTGCCTCTACAGACGGGAAGACCCCGTAAGATAATACAAGTCCATCATTCATGTGCACGGTTAGGGACAGAATGCCGGTGCGAGTGTAGGGATCGCAAACCAGGGAAACGCATGTCAGCAAGATTCAAAATGCGTATCTGTAATTAGCCCGTACATGCCAATTAGGTCCACTTAGTGCTTCATTCCGGCAAATCATCCTAACGTACACTACCAACTTACCGGTAAATGGGGGGCAGCTTCTTCTCCTCCGCCTCCTTCTTCATCCTGTGCCATGTAAGCAGAGCCAGGGCGGGAGCTATTCGGCCATACATGTGCCACATGTGTGTTCGGACGGTGTCACACTTTCCCTCAACTGCCGAACACTCAAATGCCTCTTTTCCATTATCATATACTGATAGTGCTTGCGGAATTCCCCTTGGCCCCAATCTCCGCATGCTTGACATGGTAAGTGCCCAGCATCCCCACCAGCCTTCTAATCCCATGTCTCACGACCTCAGACAGACACCATGACTCACGCCTCCAACTCCTCATCCGTGCAGAAACACGGGTACGCCTTCCCCGCCGCAACCAGCTTGTCCACCTCGGCTTTGTATATGTCGGTGCGCTCCGACTGGCGGTATGGCCCGCAAGCTCCGCCCACATCAGGACCTGCATGAGGCGCGATACGTCCGTTTCCGCGCACGAGCTTTAGGTCTGCTCCCCGCCTGCTGCTAGGACTGACTGGAACACAGGCATAGGTGCGGTTCATGTCACCGGCATCCCACGAGGCACAATCATATTGTGAAAAGATCCGCGACACGAGCCCCTGAAATCACAACCTGGCCAGAGCGCTATTTTGGGGTAAATATCCCTGCGTGAACTCCCCGCCTGTGCTCATCCTCTACAATCCTCCCCTTATCCACTTATGCCCGTCATGCGCGGACGGTGTTCCCACCCACACCCGAGCCCACGTACGCGCCATGTCCTCAAGGCCCCAGTTCCTCACCTTCATCCCAATCCAAACCCAGCCACTTAAGGTCGCGGATCATGGCCTCCTCGGAAGCGCGCGTGGATCGAGCAGTATCCGTGTCCTCGATGCTGGGAGGGGAGCCAGGGCGGGGTGCCATACACTTCAGGACAACACCGGCGGGAAATAATCTATTTGTGACAAACACCGGCATAAAACAGAGGGGGTTGGACTCCCCTGTAGATCAATGTAACTGGCACATGCTGTAAGACCGAGGCTATAGGCTAATCGAGCTTGACAAAGCGATGGCCATCAGCAATGGTTGAAAGCAACACGTTTGTGGCTAGCTTACCGCAGAACGAACTTGCCGCCAGTCTTCCGTGCATACAGCCAGTTGAAGAGGGCTGTACGCGCACCACCCACATGGAGGTTGCCCGTCGGTGATGGTGCAAAGCGAACACGGACCTGCACAGAGTGCACCCCTTGGCTTGGATACCCCTTTGTTGAATTTCATGAGAAAGAACCGCCACGCAACAAATTGCATCGTGACACGTCGGGTCGTCGCATACTCGTCCGCGCCTTCAACACAGTAGTAATTTGAACATAAAGCGCTTAATTACCTCATGCGATTTCGTTGGTACCGCAGCGGCAGCAGCAGTGGGCGCTTCCTGCACGGCTGCAGCTGCAAAAGGTGCAACTGGTCCCCTGCATAATGGATTATTGTGATTTTATTCAGGACATGGCATAACTTTCACGATGGACATAAACGTCTACATACCGCCGAGTTGAAGCGACCTGCACCAGGTGGGGAAGAGCGCATAACTTCAGAGATCTATGCGTTCCAGGGACCAAATACAGTACATCTTACTTTAACAGCTCGGAAGCAGCAAGGCGGCCGCATAAAAACTCCACGAGACAGAAGCTGCTTGGGACATAAAGCTGCCATCCTGTCCAAATGGCAAACGATATTTTCCGTTTCCAAGACAGCTTCAGTACCTTATTGTGAAACGTGAGCATGGGTTTTCAGTCAGATCTACTCGTACGGTGGTGGTTGTCGCAACCGCATAAAATATATCGATTTCATAGTTTCACCATTGCCGATCTAGGAAGCATACGTCACACGGATTATTGTCCAAGGAAATTTTCTCATCATCTACTAACTGTAGATGATGAGATGATGAGCTTCCACTATCCGACCGTGTCTCTAGCCCGTCAACCTGCAAAGCTCTTTGTCAATACGTTTTGCGCAGTCCTCGTGAACCACTTACTTGGAAAACGATAACACACGTGTCTTGGCGTCTGCTTGTTTCAAGGGTTGACCAAGTCCCATGGGATTCCACAACAAACGCTGTGTAATATAATTATGTGCCGAACGACAATGCAGGTGAAGTTTTCGTGCAAACGATTTACTAATAGTGCATTATCCTAGTTAAGCAACGTGTCAGAGCTTTGATATTAGCCTACGGTGCACTTGTACGGTCCTTCATGACACCCCGTTAGGCCTCGCGAATGGACCATGAAGCAGTGGTACAACCTTTTACACCCATGCGCATGCTAAACAACCGCTTCGCAATCTCAGTTCTTACAAGTAAACCAGGCATTCAACTGACAACTTACCAAGCTTCGCCAATGACTATCACGGGTCACCATCCACACGACTATCATTGTATCCAGGCGCTTGCTTAACGGTGTTCCCTGACACACCAAGTCTGCCGCTCATGCCCAAGGACCATGCACCTTTAGTCCTTGGGCATGAGCGGCAGACTTGGTGTG